GGCCGAAAATCAGCTGTGAGGCGCACGCATGCCCAGTGAGGTAAGTTTGCCTGCAGCTCACGTGCCGGCACAATGGCTCTGCGTGGCACCTGTGGCACACATGCATAGGTTCGCCATCACGGATCTATACAATGCCAGGTGCATCAAGTGATCCATGATATTCTTATTGGTTGCTAGATAATGTGATTCCAGGGTTGGTCTCTGTTAACTCTGCAGCGCTGCTGCCACAGAGCCAAAGGGATTAGTTAACATAAGGAGAACAGAGTTCCACAAATATGGAGTTCTGGTCTGCCTTTGTAGTCTGAGTAAGCTTCCATTCAGTCACGGACTAAGATCTCTCTGCTCATCCTCAACTTCCTGCTTCTCTCCAAAGCCACTTTCAGTTTTCAGGGTAAAACAAGGATGACTATTGGTAGGTTTGAACATTACTGGAAAGTAGCCATCTCTCCTGCTCACATATTGGAGTTGTGGGTAATATTCCTCCAATCTATGATTCACTTGTGAAATCAAAGCAAATCCAGCAGAGAGAGCAATTGTGGGAGAGAGAAGGTGACAAGAAGTGAAGTGCACGGCATGGATTACTCCTCTTTGTTCTTACCAATCTGGCAGCCGACATTCCACATCTCCTGAGGGTTGTAGTTGGAGGAGTTCATCTTCAGACCCAATGGGTAGATACGGCTGAGGTGCCGGGTGTTGTATCGGACAAAAAAGTTTCCTGCAGAAAGGAAAGAAGCTTCCGGCTTTAGATCAAAAAGAAGGAAAGAGGCAGTGGTCCTGCTTCTGATTTCTATGAACCTGACAGTGATGGAGTACTAAAGGTAGACCTCTCTTATCAATGATAATTGGGACCAAATATTTTGTTGCTAACCAACATGGTCATAAGATGAGATGTCACATGACCATGACAACTTATGGCAGTTCCAGCATTCCCAGCTGCAGTTGTTAAGCAAATCCCACGTGGTTACAACATTGCATGGTCACGTGATCATCATTGGTAACCAGCTGCTGGCTTCCCCAATGTCTTTGCTTGTTGGAAGCCAGCAACAACTGTAGCAAATACCAATTTCATAACCACAACACACTGCAACATTGTAACTGAGTGCTGGTTGCCAAATGCCCCTATCGAGATCACATGTCCGTAGAGACATTGTATCAGCTGCAATTACAAAAACCCATTGCTAGTACCCTTCCTTCAGAATCATCATACAGTTCCAATGATTGCTGTGCACAAATTGGTTTTATTGCAGGTGACATTCTTTTATTATTATTATAATTATTTGTAAACCTCGGACTGCTATCCATCAAAATAGGTGGAAAATACCCATCCATTTAAGAAATATTAACACTTAATGACTATCTAAGGAATATTAATTCTGTACTTGTACCAAATCCATTAAATATCTAGGTATGTGAACACCAAAAAATATAGCTCTCCTAACATCTACCACTCCAAATCAGATGGATGTGCACAATACTAGTACCTCTCCCTGAATAACTTCCTCTAGATATGTCCTGATGAGAATTATGAAACCTGCCTTTTCTGTGGCAGTCCCTTGCTCTATGGAACTCTTCCCTTTGAAGTTTGACAGGCCTCCACACGTTTAGCCTACCATAAAGCCTTAAAGCTGGCTTTTATTCCAAGTGCTGGGATAAAAGCACGTCAGAAGCTTGACCCAGTTCCAAGTTTTTATTTTTCATGGGTTTAGTTTTTATAGTTTTAATGTTGCTTTTATGCAACATTTAATTTTTGATTAAGAGCTACCTAGAACTGCTTATATATAAGCAGCTACATAAATATTTTAAATTAATACTATAAATTATAAATAAAATATTTAGTGAAGTTTCAGGTATTGATAGTCACTAAATCTTAACTATTATAATATATAATAAAATAAATTCTTTGTTTACAAAATCTCTATGGGGTTCTTCGATTCTGTGAATATATTTACAGAAAATACAATTATCAATTAATGAGGGAGGATTTGGTCTTTCTAACCTGGAACTCCTCATGTTTACCTTTGTCAAGTATTAAATATCAGAAGCCAAAAATTGTTATTAATTTTCAGATGTGGGCAACTTTGGAATATACATATAGTGTAGGACATAGTTGGTTGGATGGAATATACTAAAATTCTAGTATCTCTGGAAATAATTACATCAATTAGAAAACTAATTGAATGGAATGTCTAATTAAAGCTCAACCCTTTTCCCCCATGTTAAATTAACTTTATGGAGAAACCCAACCTAGAAAATGGAACAAAAGAGATATGTAAAAATTGGAATTGAAGTGAGGATATTGACCTTGGATCAACTGATGAATTATGTGGGTGGATTTTTGATCATATTGTGGGTTAAGAAATAAATATCATCTACCTGATATAGCCCAATGGGAATATTTACATACAACATTTGCCAACAATGGTGTTTAGATCAGCAGTATTGTCATTTTCTGAAACACCCAATAGAGCAAATTGTTAAATCCTTTAAAACTAAAAGCAAATCCCTCTACTATTAATTTCTTTAGATATCAGTTATCAAGAAATCATTTCAATATTCATATGCTAAGAAATGTCCGGAATAAGGAATTAGAGATTCCTACATTGCTTAGGCATGGAGTTTTAACTTCCATACCACTAGTGTCAGTGGACCTTAAGCTGTAACTTATACCACAACAAAAAATAATACTTAGACTCCTTTACATCTGTATAGAAATGGACTGCTTAGGCCAGCATTTTACAGAAGATGTAGTAAGGATAATGCTTCTTTAAAACATATATTTCTATAATGTACTTATTAGGTTTTAGGAGGAAACTATGTAAATGTAACTCTGTGACAAAAGCTAACATTTTCAGGCAATAATATTCTTCTGAATAATATACTTAGTACAACTGGACAGTACAAATGGATTCTCCATGTCCTTACTATGGACAAAATACCAATACTGAAGCATCGGAAAGTTAAATGTATAGTCCTTTTTACTCAATAGATTAAGGACCTGATTGCAATTGCCACCTATGAGCAGATTGTGTATATATATATATGTACATACAAATGTAAGGAAATATGGGCTCATTGGTACAAAACACAGCAGGTTGTAGAAAGGTTATATAAATGTATTAGAAATTTACATGTATTTCAATAATAACTTCATCTCTTTGTTGTCTTTTACTTCACTTTTTGCTTTGTTTTTTGATAATGTATATAAATATATTTTACTGAGGACGCTGTGGCTCAACAGCTAAGATGCTGAGCTTGTCAATCAGAAAGGTCGGCAGTTCAGCAGTTCGAATCCCTACACCGTGTAATGGAGTGAGTTCCCGTTACTTGTCCCAGTTTCTGCCAACCTAGAAGTTCAAAAGCATGCAGAAAAATAGGGACCGCTTTGATGGGAAGGTAACAGTGTTCCGTGCACCTTTGGTGTTTAGTCATGCTGGCCACATGACCACAGAGATGTCTTCGGACAGCGCTGGCTCTTTGGCTTTGTAACGGAGATGAGCACCACTCCCTAGAGCCAGTAATGACTAGCACATTTGTGTGAGGGGAACCTTTACCTTTAAATGTTTTCATTTTTGTGTCTTGTTCTTTTTTAATTTCTTTTGTCCTATTTTAAAATTAATCAAAGAATAAATAAATAAAAAACAATTTCAAGTGGTTGCTGAATGACTGGATGTTTAATGAGGACTACTTGTTTGCCAAGCCCAACTAGAACTGCCTAGAACACAAGGTCATGAATAAATCAATCAGTCTTGTCCTGCTTGACTAGCATATCCATGCTCTGCCAGATATAATGTTTTTGAGCATTGGGGATATCTTATTACAATACTGAAGATTATATTCTGGCACTCCTTTTCAGTCTCTAAAACCTGGCTACCTATAAGTCCAGGCTAGAGATCAAGATCTTTGCAAAAAGTTAACCTACTTCCTACGGCTTTTACAAACAGCCTTCCTACAGAGCGCTCTCTCTCTCTCTCTCTCTCTTTCTCTCTCTCTCTCTCTCTCTCTCTCTGTGTGTGTGTTACAGAAGATGTATATTAGCTATGCTCTTAATCAATACTTTTAAGCCTGGTAACAGATCCTGTTACGGTAAGATTTTTTCCCCCAAAAAACACATGGCATGATGAACAAAATATAATAGCCTATGACAGTATACAAACTCATAATAAGTAATTTCACATTTCATGCTATATCCAAAACCACATTAAAAGTTAGTCTATGGAGATTGTCAGTCATCCAGATCATAGTTGTCCCTAAAGCAATCATAGTTGTTTGCTTTTTCAAAAGGCAACCGGACTATTTTTTGTTTTTTCTTTACAATGACTTGTTTCTTATTCAAGAAGCATCTTGGATGAGAAGCAAAACATCTTCAAGGAAAAACAAAGTTCTGTTGCCTTTTGAAAAAGCACCTTTGGGGTTAAAAGTTAGTGTTGTGTATGAACAAAACTATCATTCTCACTAGTTTCATCACAATCAATAATGTCCAAGGTTATACTGTACTCTTAAAAGACTCAATTGTACTTTAGCAGCCAACTGAGCCAGACTGAGCCACAAAGCAAGCCAGCACATCATAATGTCCTTAGTATTCAAAAAGAAAAAGAAAAAAACCATTTCCCATACCTGAATCTTTGATCAATTTCCTGGCTTTCCGTTCACTGAATGATGACATCTCTACAGGTTTCTGGTGGAGTAGGGCATCAGACAGGCTTTGGAATGGAACAGCCCGGCAATATACAACCACATCAGAGAGCTCTTGCGAAATCTGCACAACATCCTTTGCCTGGGGTCAAGGAAGAAGTACCATGTGCAAAAAATTAATTTTAATTTAATTAATTTAAAAGTCCACTTCATGTAACACATCCTACTTTGCAAACAAATTAAATTTAGGCTTGCAAATAGCTACTAGTTTGCTACTGTTAAGCAGACTAGAATATCTTTCAGTTAACTAGAGAGGTTTTGTAAGTTGAAAGCTTTGTAAGTTGAAAGTTCCTTCCCCCTTCATTAATGCTCTTGATGGGTCATATCATGGATTCTGTATGGTAGATGTCTTTCAGGAGTTAGGAAATCTAGCTATAATCTTAGCTGGACTTACATAGGTTTGCTTCAGCAGGGGGCAGTATTTAGCCAACCTTTGACAGCTCTCAGAAACTAAGCAGAGTGGCCCCAAATATACTTGGACAGGAGACTAGGAGTCCCAAAAAATCTGAGAAATGAAAACTTTTGTAGAACCAGCAAGAAAACTACATGACTGGGGCACTAAAAGTAAGGCCCAACTTGAAACATGGCTGGTAAATCTGGCAGCATTATTAAGTGATCATCATATAAGGATGTATTTACCACAAAGATGAGCTCTTTTGAAGATATACTTCTGGGTTCAACATCCACCTATCTGTAGTGGTGACACTGTAGCACAGTGGACATGCCCATTTTAGCACAAAGAGTGAACTTCCTGGCTCCTGAATTGATGTTAACTTCCCTGGCCAACAAATCTTCTTGCAGTGGCATGTGATGAGGTCATCATGAAAAGCAGTTAAAAGCAATTGTGGATATTATGTTTGTGGATGGGCGTAGCACCCTGTGAAAATAGCACTTCTCTTTCCCTGGGATATTTTCTTTCAGCATGGTTATGTTATGATCTTTAGAGAACACCTATCCCTCTATCTTGGAATGGTTTCAAGGAAATAAAGAAAGCTGTTTTCTTCCCTTGTTTTGTCACAATATTTTAATCACCAAGATGAAGAGGATACCCTCAAATCTGGCAACATTTGAGTACCAATAGCTAAGAGACTACATTGCTTGCTTGCTCATCGCACTTACCAGCCATGTTGGGATCTCTTCCAAAAAGGAAGGAATACCCACCTGTAAAGGTCTGATTTCCTGAAGAGAAGACATAAACTGAAGAAAGAAGCAGAAACAGAAATTAGAAGATCTCTGTGTGTACAAAATACAGTTAGTTGTATTTTCAAAGGAAGAGTTTAAGAAAATATGAACGATTTTGTTAATGATCCAGGATCTTGTTTCTTTCCTACAATGGCCAACCAGATGCTTCTGGGAAACAACTAAAAGGCATTGAAGGCATTACTGTCTCCTCAGGTTTTGTTCCCAGGACATTTTATTAATAGAACTTCAACCTCTGATCTTACTTACATACAGCTATCATAATTTAATAGTTTCTTATTATTATATTTATTCTCTATCTACTTGTCTAATAATCCTTTTTGCTCTTTATTCAGTCACACCTTCAGCATTACATTTCAAAAATAAAGCAGGCATTGTATGAAAGAAAGATTGACTTTTGCCAGTGAACAGTCAACTCATTATTGTAAATATACATTATTTTTTAAAAAGTTTACCCATCATTGGTACATATTGTCCCATTACATACAAACACTCCTAAGAATCATAGGAACTGATGTATTTTGCTAGCAGTCCCCAATTTGAAACATTTCATGTAAACCTTGCCCCACAAAAAATTGCTTACTATTTTCGCTATTTTAAGAAAAAAAGGACTTTTGAATTACAGCAAACTCCTAAGAATACTTTAAATATCTAAAAGAAAATACACAGAGGCTGTCTAACCTTAGACGAGGATGGTTGTCTTTTGGCTTGCAACTGACCACCCTATTTATATTTTGCTCTGACACTTTTAAAGGAAGCTTCTGACAGCAGAAGACCCCAATTTTCCATTCAGAAGAAATGATGCCCTCATTTGTTGACATAAACTCTTCCACAGCAACAAGAGTGGAATGTCAAAGTTGTTGTAATGCTCTGTTAAGAACTCTAGCCTGATTTTTTTCTGGAAATTCCTTTCTAGCCCACCCAATTTTGAGCTTTCCGTTCCTCATCATTCTCTGGCCATAAATCATGCTTGATCTTTATTGGGCTATTTGTGAGTGGGGGGGCAGGTGGAAGAAGATGTTTACAAATTTCTACTAAAAATATTCAGTACTTTTGTAGCCCCCTTCTTTCAAAATAGCATAAATATAGCAAATGCAGGGAGACAATGATCTTAGAGCTGCAAGCACGGATTTTTTGGTGTTGGTGGTGGGGTTGTTGAGCTTCCCCAAAATGATCACTCTTTACATTATGCTTTTGACACACTTGGCTACATGACAATACCTGGGCTACAAAAATCCAGATAACTGTTGGATGTAAGCAAAGAAGTTGTGATAAGTTTAAAGTTTGCCCCATCTGAGAAATTTGCCTTGGGACCCAGGGAACTCTACTTTCACTGTTTTCAGCAGAGCAACTTCTGCTGCATTCTTGACACTCAATTATATTGGTATGCTGTTACAGAGTGTCCACCTTAGAGGTTTCCCTAACATTCTCTTAATCACCCCTTCAGAAACATGGATCTAAACCTCACCCTCTGGTCTTCTTCCTCCTGCATTTCTTCCTCACGATTGGAGATCAAGTAAACTCTTGGATCAGTCTTGTTCTCTGATAGCTTTTTCCCCTTCACTAATATCTTCCCCTTCAATTGCTGTAAGGTTTGGGAAAAAAAATCAATAAACTTAGCTCTACAATAAATCCTTCCTAATAATCTTAATTAGCTGAGTCCAGGGGATTGTAATTTCCTACATCCTTAAATCAGCAAAGGTATAGCTCGTGGTGCTCTTATTCTTCACTTAATTTGGCAAAGACTTTTATGAAGTACCAATATGGTATGAAAAATAAAATATTTATTTAGCTATATCCCACTTTTATTATTTTTACATAACTCAAGGCAGCAAACATATTCAATACAACTTCCTCCTCCTATTTTCCCCACAACAACAAACCTTGTGAGGTGAGTTGGGCTGATTGACTCAAAGTCACTCAGCTGAATTCACAGACTCCCATTTTCTAGCCTGGTGCCTTAACCACTAGGCCAAACTATTGTTTATTCATCCCACCATAAAACACTCTTTCAAGTGTGATATTGTAAGATGGTCAAGACCATTAAAAAAATCATTTTGAGCACAAAAAAAGAACTAAAAAAATATAAAACAAACATTTAAAACTGTGCAATTATTGCAAATGGCAGAAGGTGGTGAAATGCAATTCTTAATCCCTCAAATTTCTCCAACGGTGATACTGTACAGATACAAATCGGACAACGGCTGCAAAGCAGTGTTGTTTTGTTGAATTCATGCTTCTTGCTCTGAAGCCTAGAAAGATTTTATTCAAATCATAATCCCTTCATGATTCTCAGTGTGGTTTGTGTAGCCTGTAGATTAGTAGGGAAGACGTTGATCCCCAACCTATGCAATGCTGGCCAATTATATAATGAAAAAAAATATTTTTTTTTCATTATATAATTGGCTATATTACCTGTGGTGATGGCAGTTGCTTGGACAGGTCTCCATCCAGTGGCTGGATCAACAGCATGTCCCCTAGAATGGTTTTCAGGTGATGGGCCATTGTAGACTGCTGCTCCAGGCCACAGTGATTTTCCAGAGAAAGAATCACAGGATAGGAAGAGTGCTGGGGGCATAAAGTAGGATTGTAAGATATCAATTCTCTGTAGCAGCCTTTTCAAATATTGTTCATAGCAACCTTTTCCCCCCCTGTTTTAGTTCAGGGACAACTTCTGGATATAGTTTTATATAGATCTGCCATTTTTTTTTCATGTGGGTAGCGGACCTATGGTTTTAAAAAACAATATAAAATACAAATAACAGCACATAAACATTTCCTCATTATGTCTCAGCAGTGGGAAAACAAAATTACTCAACTACTGAAACTGATACTATCTATAAAATATAGGATGACATATATAGTGTGTTTGTATAGATAAATCTTGTTGCCAGCTTTGTTAAATTCATGTGATATGCTGGACAATATAGGGGCTACTCCAGAAGAATAAATCAATACATTTCCTAGATGGTCCTAAATATTTTATTTGTATTGAGCTGTGGTGGTAAAGTATAGAATGCAGTATTTCAGGAGTTGCCAAGAGTTCAATCCTGACTGGCTCAAGGTTGACTCAGCCACCAATTCTTCTGGTAAAATGAGGTTGGTAAAATGAGGACCCAGATTGTTGGGGGCAATATGCTGACTTGTAAACTGCTTAGAGGGTGCTATAGAGTAAAGCACTGTGAAGTGCATATAATTCTAAGTGCTATTGCTATTACAGACCAAAGTAAATATGTTATGATATTTACACAATTAAGAATTGTTGCCCAGATGCCTTTTTGACCCACACATTCAGAACATTCACAACAATTCTGCTGTTGCGTTGATTTTTAAGGGTCTAAAAAGTTTAGGTGAGGGTACATGAAAAACCCATTCTACCTTATGCAAAATTTATCATTTATCAATCAACAGTTGTACAATTGGGCTAGAAGGAATATATGGTGTTAAATTATTTCAAATACAAGGACTTACTAAGATAGCAAGTGGCAAAGCACCATCTTAGAAATACTGTTCCTATTCTTCATGATTGTAGAATAAAGGTTTACTTTGAAAACATCCTGCCAATTTATCAGAAAACGAGAATGAAAAGAAACTAGAAGCTATGTCTATTAGATATGTTAAAATGCTTGCAAATTTTCAGCATCTTTTTTTTTTAATGCCCCAGATCAATTTGGCATCTCAAAGATCTCACAAGCTTTCAACCAATCTTTAATATTTTTTAATATCTAATTCTGGGACACTAAACAATACAGTGAGTATTGTGAATATTGCATTGCAATATATGAGCAATATAATGCTACTTGATAAGGAGTGCTGGGAAGCCTCTATTGAAAACTCTTGTTTCACACAACAAATGATGCTTCTTCTAATAAAATAAAATATCTAGGCCATATCATTTATAAATCAATTTTTACTTCAACTATTGCTTTAATCAATAATACTGCATATGAAGAATGATATCATTAAATATGGTGGAACCACTGGCTAAAGGAGAGGGGGCTCTTCTAGGGATAATAAAAAAACATTCCAGCTTAGGATCAGTTAGGAAAGGAAACTTCTAAGATCAGGAAGACAGTTTGTTCCTGTAATATAGGTAATCAACAATCAAATATCCACTTGGGCCTATTTACAAGTGGTTCTGGCTGTTTGAAGCTGGCAATAAGATTCTAGTAAAAAAGGTCTCAAGTATAAAAATGTTGTGTATTGTAATTAAGTCTACCTTGAAGGCATGGTCCCGGATGCTTTCAATTACATCCCGGAAGAGGATCTTGGAGGTAAGTGTATGGCCATGGTAGATAATGGGCTCTCCATTAGAACCTTCCCAGCAGTCCAGCTCCACGCAACGGCAGCCCTTCATTAATGCCCTGCCAAATGGGGGGGGGGGGAATAAAGAAATAGATTTTGCATTTTACAAATGCAACTGGGAATGTATAGAGGTAAAAGATAGTAGAATATATTATTTTCATCCTGGGACTCAGGATGTTCAGTTTTGTATGAGATCAAGATGCTTCTCTAAAGCTTCTGAAGCAAATCTAGAATATGTGAAACTATATGTGCCATTGAAATTCAGGAGACACCCACATCTAAAATTATATAAGTAGATACATGTAAGATGGCCTATGAAAAGCAATGAGCTATGCTGGGTATCATAATCAAACTAATTAATATAGAAGTTGTAGTGTAATCATTTTATGTAATATTCATAAAATAAAGATTATATTCCAGATCAGACAAATGAGGATTAAGGTCAGGAAATGTAGTCAGACTGAGCAGGTGATGTAAAAGAAATAGTTTACCTTTTGTGTTATACATTATGTGAGCCATTGGATTTTCTATAGCTACTAATATGTAATCTGATTCTCCTGCTGAACTGACCAAATTCAATATCTTCTCTGGCTGTTACAAGGTGTCAAATGCTTGGATCTGATATCAGAGCCCCTAGAGAGTTTATGCATACTTCCTTCAATTCACAAAAACTGCAAATAATACCTGATTGACCACATGTTGTTCTTCACTACATCCTATTCAAAATGGCCCTAAACTATTCATTTAAGGACAATTGAAGGTAATTTTTACCATATGAATTGAATAATAAGTTTGTCATTAAGTGTTGTACATTATGATTCTTGATTCTTAATGAATGTACCTTTTCTTTATGTATACTGAGAGTATTTACACCAAGACAAATTCCTTGGGTATCCAATCACACTTGGCCAATAAAGTATTCTATTCTATTCTATTCTATTCTATTCTATTCTATTCTATTCTATTCTATTCTATTCTGTTCTGTTCTATTCTATTCTAAATAAGTTTATATGCTATCTAATTAATGGAACCACCTGATGCTAGGAATGTGAATAAACAGATGGAAAAATCCCTCCCTAGGTACCAGTCTAATTGTTCCTTTCTGTCATCTTGCCTTGGCCTTGTTCCTCTTGTTCCGTTCAAACTATACCCACTCCCATTGAACAGTTATCCTCTCCTAACCCGTTGCTCACCCAGTTCCCCTTCAGTTTCCATGATAAAACCTCACAACAGGTAGTTACCAATTCTCAGGATATGACAGGATCTTCATCCCCACTTCTACTCCCAAATATTTGATATTCTGACTTGTTTTCAACTAGACCTTTGTGGATTTCTGAGAACAATACCAACTCTACCTCCTTCCTTTCTATCAGGTTCTTCAATATGACACACACAGTCTACAGCTGTTCACAGTTGGGTCATGAAAACTTCTTACCGAACATATGCCTCAGTGCTACTGGCCCCTCCAATCTGATTGTCTGTTAGGTAGGTATTATGGGAGGAAGAGATGAAGTAATGGCATAAAGGCTGGCTCATATCCTGATAAATCCCAGCATGCGCCTGGTTGAGGATGTTTCCCGCTGAGGATAGTAAGTACATTGTGAAACCATCCAGCATCATGAGACTGTGTTGCCTGGCTGTGGAATAGAGACAGTTGGTGAAGCAGTTTTGACTACAATCCATGTAACAGGTTGACCAGATACATTTCATAAGGCACTGTTGTATACATTCCAAATACCTGCATCTCATTCTTTCCCTTTCCCCGCAACGAACAAAATATATAATGTGATGTAACCTCTTTTTTTTCCTCCTCAGTCCACATTTTGAAGAATAAGGAAGAAGTGAAGGACCAAAAAATAATGGTAAATTCTTGTGAATGAATGAGCACTTCTAACTTTTTCTATTCTCAATGGCTTTTTTACTGTTGTTGTTTTATTTTTAGTTTAATCTTTTAAATAATTGGATTGGTTTTATGATAAGGTACTATGTTTTAATACTGTGCTGAAACCATCAAAGAGTCCACTTTTAAGAAAAGGAAGGTAGCATCATCTCATGGATTTTGTTCTGGAGATAAAGGAAGAAGAAAAATCTACGTTCAGCAGAACCCATCCATAATAGAGCGTCTTCTGAGGAATAAACATCTATTTTTGTTGCTACACAGAGATGATAACTTTCCAAAGATTCAAGGGCAATATTATATTGTTATTTATACAATGCCATCTACATATAGTAAATTTTTACAGAGCTTTACAGAGAACAGGTTTAAAGATCCCTCCCCGAAGAAGTTCAGTCTAATAACTGGTATACACAGGTGAGATGAAAGAGAATGAGGAATGAGTGGAACAACAGTAAACAGGAAAACACCTCGGTTGAAATATAAAATATATCCACAAGCTGTTGTTTTCTATCTCATTTTGTTGGTAGCCTTTGGTTCTAGGGAAAAATGAAGTAGTTTTGCAAGTCCAGTGGCAAACCACAGATGGTCTAGACTCAGAGCAGGCGTCTCCAAACTTGATAGCTTTAAGATTTGTGACTTCAACACCCAAAATCCCTCCTCCAGTCATGTTAGCTCAGGAATTCTAGAAGTTGAAGTCCACAAGTCTTAAAGTTACCAAGTTTGAGGACTCCTGGTCTAGAGTCTAGACCAATGTTTCCCAACCTTAATATCTTTAAGAATTTTGGGAATTAAAATCCAGACATCTTAAAAGTTTCTGAGGTTGAAAAACATTGGCTTAAGCAAAGATAGTTATGGCTGCTTTAGAAACAGATAAACAACTATTGTTTGTAACATTTTGAAAGGTAAAGCATCATTCTCTGGTGATGTTAAGGTCAAGGGAAAGATGGCAGAGTCCCAGAGAAAGATTCAGACAGGGTCTCACCTATTCGCTAGAACCTGTTGTTAACTTTCTAAGCAGTTCAGAAAACCGGTTGTTGGAAGAAATCTCCCTTTGTTTTTTTCCACTTTGCAGGGCTAATAAGGAAACATTGTGGTGGTATTGCTTACAGAAACTGTCTCTCCCTTAACACTTACTACCTTCTTGGCAGTACGCTAGACTTCCTGTCTCACTTTTGCTGGTACTTTGTTTGACTCTCTTAAAGGGAAAGGGTTGTTTTAAGCTTTTTACACTGCTGTTAGGTGGAAATACTCCCCTGCTGGAGTTCTTCCAGCCTGGGTGCAACGATTAGCACTTTGAAGAAATAATGAAGAAGAGCTGCCAGAAAGAAGCTTTTAATGACAAGGAACCAAGATGAGTGATATTCAGCAAGGCTTCTTGGCTAGCTAGAAAGATTGACATTCAAACATGAGTTTATATACCCTTTCTGAGTTTTGGTCTAAAACTGGTTTTTGGTGAAAATTAATTCTGTGCTTGGTGACGTTTAATCCTCTGTTTATTGATGGGATAATTTTCCCTATTCAGCTTTGTTTGGAAGCAAAAAGGTTAATCTCTGTTCCTGAAAAGAAACTGGATTGAGAAATCTGGCTAGTTCCTGTATCTATTTGTTCTGGTAATTGGTTTAACAAGTGACAGCTACTGTTCAATGGTGGGATTCAATTTTTTTTTTTTACCAGTTCTGTGGGCCTGGCTTAGTGGGCATGGCAGGGGAAGGATACTGTAAAATCTCCAGTCAGAGGTGGTATTTGCCAGTTCTCCGAACTACTCAAAATTTCTGCTACCGGTTCTCCAGAGCTGGTCAGAACCTGCTGAATACCACATCTGCTACTGTTGTGATTTAATTATTTGTATTGTGTTTGAATTTTTTCCTGCCTCATGGTTTCTTTTTTTATCTGGGGATGGGGTCTTTCTTCACTGCTTTAGTGATATTTGGCACTGTCCTTTTTGGGGTGTACTTCCAAGAGGCAAGCTTGGCATTGATTTTTTTACTGCCTTCCTGAGGGCATGTGATCTTTTCTTAAATCTGGATGATTTCCTTGTGAGGTGAGTGAGACCAGCTGGTGTCTTTAAGTGGTGCAAACAGATCTAAGGATTGCTTCTCCTGGGTGTCCTCTTTCTGGAGAGCTTAAATGACCTCTCTGCTAAAGAGTTTCACTTTATGAGTAAGAGTTGGCTGCTGATAGTTATCATTGCATTTTAACTATTTTCATTCCTCAAGGTGCTCAGGCATCCTGCCTGATTTGTAACTCTGGGTTGAAGGTATTGCTGATGAAAAGGAAGGTATTCAGAGGGAATGGTTTAGGTTTCCATGATGGCTGGGACTCAATGATCTTCAGTGTATATTCCCCCATTTCTAATCTAATGATTGGTATTTAGGACAGCTTTTTGCAAGCAAAGAATCTTTTTGTATTTTTGTATAAGTAATCCTTGAGTTACAACAGTTCATTTAGTGACCATTTAAAGTTACAATGGCACTGAAAAAAGTGACTTATGACCATTTTTAACACTTATGACGGTTGCAGCATCCCCACAGTCATGAGAGGCCAGGTGAGGAGAAGCGCCCCTTGATGTGAGTGATGTCGAGTTGGCCATGCCCACCCAGTCACATGACCACCAAGCCACGCCCACCAACTAAGCCATGCCCACAGAACCGGTTGTTAAAATTTTTGAATCCCACCCCTGCATAAAATGTTTTGTTGTTCTGATTGTAAAAGATTACGGTATGGCCACAACAATAGCCATGGAATGGCTTTGAAAGTTTTTCTCTCCAAATTAGAACCTGAAAAAAAAAGAAATAGAATACACACACACAACACACACACATTTTCCTTGTATGGAAGACAGAATTTGGCTATCTACACAAAGTTCCTGTTTAATAAAGTGATTACAGTTCTAATTATCCAGTTGTAATATGCTTTGGATCAACTTGAACAATACAGAACAAAATACCAAAAAGGAATAAAGTAATAATCTCAAGAAAAGATGCCAATGGGAGTTAAATATGAGATTTTGGGCCATCTAAGAGACTGTTTCAGATGACATTTTTACAAGAAGACACTCCTTACCTCTTTCACTCCTTACTAGGTATTACAATCTCTTCTGTACTCTCACTGACTGTATACTGCTGCCAAAACTGAACTTGCTTGATTTATTGTTGTACCAAAATTCCAGAGAAAAGCAATTATGGGAGTAAACCATCCTATAAACTATACATGTATATAATCTGAGACCTTGAAGCTTTAGGACTGAGTTAAGCAGCTGGGCAAAGGTGACTTCTTTGCTTCTCCATTTCAAAAGTCTACGTCTAGAATTTTCTAACAGGAAAGAGGAAGTACTAGAGCTAACAGCTGCATTTTATATCTGGCTCATCATTCCCCTCATTTGTTTTGTCACCTAGGGTAGCAGCACCTACGTTGGACTAAAAATGAAGAAATAAACAGGTTCAGTGCTGATTAAGTATTTCTGATATGACAACCAGAAAATTCCAGGGCTTTAAACTACACTGGGATGCATTTTTAAAAAAATCTGAAGGTGACAGTGGCAGTAACACAAAGGAAAATCCATATAACTACAACTAGACAAGCTCAGCTCATAGAAGACTCTACTGTTATATTGCTGAGAATAATTTTATTATTAATTTTATTATCTAATACAATGAATTTAACTTCTAAACAAAATATTAAAGATTGGTTGATCTACGGACTGAATTTATCTAAAAGTGTTTGCATCTATGTGATGTTTAGGCCAGGCTGCTACATCAGCACCAACAATGCAGAAAGTACAAGACAGTCTTGCCATAACTTATTTTGGTTTGCCAGTATGATAAAATATATTAAATACCGTATCAAGTTTCTTTTTAAAATTCTAGGTTACTAATAAAATCTGGAATATTTTACATTTTTTAAAAATTAATTATAACATTTTATTAGACTGTAGAATAAAATACAAAAATACAAAAGCAAATATCAGGACACAGTGGGGAGAGGAAAAGTGAGGAAGAGAAGGGGGGAAGGAAAAAAAAAAGCATTGACTTTTGACTCCCTCTGTTGCAGTAGAACATTAACATCAAACCTGAACTTTTTGTTTTCCATAATAGTATAAACTCGCCATTTCTATAACAACAAATCAATCTAATCTATAAAACCTAAAATCAAAGTTTCATTTTTTCCACCTCAAGCACAAAGGCCAGAAGCTGTTTCCATGTAGAAACAAAGTACTTATATTCTTTTCTTTAATCAAAACAGTCAATTTAGCCATCTCTGCCAGAAGTATTTTACTAGATCATTTCCTGTATTTGGCCTGCCCTATTTCCTCTCTTTGTTACTTTATATAATACAATATTTTTAAAAAATCAAAGGAATTCAGTTACTAAAACCAAGCAAATCATTTTTTTCTGCAATACTCCCAATCTTAGTAGTCCCTATACTGCAGAGGTCTCCCAGCTTGGCAACTTTAAGACTTGTGGACTTCAATTCCCAGAATTCTGGGAGTTTAAACCCACAAGTCTTAAAGTTGCCAAGTTTGGGGACCCCTGCTATTCTACATATTTATTACAAGCCTGTCAGTATAGGATTGACTACCTCTCCAAAAGTGGGAGCAGGAAGAAAACTTTGTGGCTTGTTCCACAAAAATAATGACCTTCATCAACCTGTGTCAGGTTCTTGATCAGCTGGGATACCTAAGAACCCCAGCCTTTCTGGATGTTCTTGCAATATGCTTGTTGGAAAATTTACAATCATATTGTTGAGATACATGTAACACATTCATACCTTTCTCATTGAGCTCATATGTCTGAATGATATGTTGAGCTTGTTGCAAGCTTGCTTCTTCACCCTGATCATGCAAAAAATCCTGTAGTTCCTCAGCAGAAAGCACACAGTCCACTCCTGAATATTGGTGGAAGATGTCCTCCAGCTCAGGCCGTTTCATTAGTCGTGTACAGAATTCCTCAATCTCAGATTCTTCCAAGCGGTCATTGTTTGATTTGTCACACTCCTGGTGAAAGAGAGACAAAGGAATAAATAAGCTGCGGTGAAAACTGGATCAGAGGCACCTAATTAGCAACTGAATGTCTAACATGGAAAAAAGCAACTTTCAGACTTTCCCAGCCTGGCAATTTTCAGGTGTATTGATACCATAATCCCCCAATTTCCCAGCTCAGACAGCTGCCAGAAATTCCTAGGATTTCCCAAACTGATATGCTTTAGATACGCTTTAGATACATTGGGAATTGCAGTCCCAATGTATCTAAAGCATAACAGTTTGGGAAAGACTGCACTATACTAAGAGCTACCTGCTTTTTCCCCTTTACACCGAAATCACAACAGGTAATTAAAAACAAAGCACACCTATATAACATACACTGTTTAGTCTACAGCAACAACAAAAATACATGAAATTATGAAGAGTATTAAAAACTACTTGGTTCAGAATGAAATATAGTAAGTATTATGGCCTGAGATCCATGCTCTATATTATTTATTATCAAAAGTTGTATTAAAGAAGAACATAAAATCACCAAATGAAGAGACAACACGGATGTCTCTCATCTCTATGAATTGTCTCGAAACTTTTGAACACATTTATGCAGAGCTTTGGAGTTAATAACCTAGCAAGGCCAAAAGGCCTACAATAGCAAGTATAATGGAAGGGAAACTAAGAGAAGAAACAAAGTAGTATTCATCATGTCCTAGGACATGTTTTGGGTGGGAAATACATATTATATACATTTCTTCAGAATATCAAGTCCAAATAACATTGGGAGGTAGATTGATCTATCAAACAACAGTTCAAAATCATCTAGAGAATTTTCATAGCAGATAATGGATTTAAAGCTCAGTCTTTGTCCAATATTTTAACTAGTACAGGAACCATGGAATATACAAAAGCACCTTTTAAATATAAAGTTACTGCTGAAAAGGACATGAAATAGAACCCAGAAGGCAAGAGAGAGAACAATATGAATACCTTAAAGAGCTGATAGGCATAGATGTCATTCATATCTATGTTTACAATTCGCAACATGTTTTTGATCTCTTTGAAACTCATCTTATTGTCTTTGTTCTTGTCGGCTTCATGTAAGATGCCATGGATCCAGGTAGGGCCTAATGTAAGGACAATGTAAAAAACTGGGAAGCATCTGCCTTAAAATTTAAATTAACTCTCCTTCTGTTTTACATAATTAATTCAAGAAAATTGTGAAGATAAGTCTTAATACGAACTATTAAGAAAAAGGGAAGGAGTGTTGGGGCATATTTAAATGCAGAACAAAGGGTACAAAGATATCAGCTATCCACAAATATTTGATTGAGCAATTTCTGTCTAATTCTTAGATATATGGTTAAAATGTCTTTATCAAATTCAAATTGTAAGAAAATAAAAATTTCTGGCCATATAACTTCTTTCAGAAAAAAACAAATTGCTGCTTCTAAAGCCAATAAATTATCCTTTGTTAGGTGAGGCTTTTCAAACAGAGAATGGTTACACTCCAGCAACATCACTGCCACATAATTCCTTTGCTGGTGCATTTTCGCCTTTGAGGCATAACTCAACTTCTGACTCTGTGGCCATTGCCCTACATTCCCCTGCCATGGAAGATGTCACAAGATAGTAGGGGTAAATACTAATACTATTTGCTTCTTTTTCACATCACCAGTGCACAGCAACCCATGAAACCAAATGGGGCTCCAAATCCCATTATAAATATGATACCATATGTATTTTTAAAACTCAGAGGTCTAATACCTAACACAAGCCAAGGCATAGATTTTAAAAAGAGAAAGGAGGGTTTTGTATTGATTCAACAAAAACTTCCTTTCTCTTTTTAAAATGTATGCCTCAGCTTTAAGGGGGAATAATATCTACCCCATTTCTAAGTCTTTGCCGATATAGAAAGAAAGGATATTGCTCAAGTTTTTCTTGCTGGCTCATGGCTTCACATCTGACCATCAGTTTTGTGAGTCCCCTCACCCACTGCTGGGCTTCAGTCCCATTCCGAGCAGCCAGATCCAGGTTTTTCCGTTTCCCCCTGAAGACTATAGTGAAGCACTGCTCTTCTGCAAAAGAACCACCAAATTTCCGAAGCCCCTCAGATTGGTAACCTTCACGTACACTTTCAACATGGAGGATGGAGACTGAAAGACAAGGCATCAAAGGGAGTCATTCATGGAGAGAGATAAAAATTAAAAATATTCTAAGTGTCTCAACTCACCAAATACCTACCACTTTCAGTGAAAATGTTTTCATTTGCCATAAGAAAGCAGGGAAAGACTATAGTTGCCTTGCACCATGGGATGAACTGTATATTTGATAAATAAACAAATAGTAGAACATAGAACGAGCAGGCAAAAGACTCCAGTTTCAACTCACAATATTTCACCATAGGGATGGAAAAGCCAGTCTCTGAGACCCTGGAGAATGAGTGTCATTAGTGCCAATTAATCTTTCCTGATCTGGTATCTCTCAACCATACTGAATTCCAATTGTCATCATTCCAGATCAGCAGACAGAAGGGGGGTCTGAAGTAGATGGAGCATTGTTTGGCTGTGATATAAGGTAGTTTTCTTTATTTCCCAACCAAGAGTCTATCAAAAACTCATTAAAAATTGTCCAGAATGAAGGTTTTATGATGCTTAGGCTTATACCTGGCTAGGATGGGAATAATAACCTAGCACTCCTAGAAGAGGAAGCAAATCTCAGACCAGGATGTGTTTATTTAGCATTTTAATTGTTCAAACATTTCTCATTTACTATCTCTGTAAGACTTTAAATACCTCTGCAAAAAAGTGATTGGCTCCAACTTAGGAGAGAACTAGAGGCTTGATCAGCCAAGGAAATGTAGCACCTCTTCTCTGCTAGGATATCTCAAATAACGTTTCTTAAATTTCCTGCTCTCAGAACTCCTTTCCACTTTTAAAAATTATGGCAGACCTTTTGTTTGTATGGTTTATACAGGTACTCCTCAACTTACGAGCACAATTAAGCCCAGAATTTCTGTTGCTAAGTGAGACATTTGCCCCATTTTACGACCTTCCTTGTCACAGTTCTTAAGTGAATCACTGCAATTGTTAAATTAGTAACATGGCTTTTAAGTGAATCTGGCTTCTCCATGGACTTTGTCAGAAGGTCGCAAAAGGTGATCACATGACCCTGGGACATTGTAATCATTATAAATATGAATCAGTTGCCAAGCATCTGAATTTTGATCACATGACCATGGAACGGTCATGTGAGAAACAGTTATAAGCCACTTTTTTCAGTGCCATTGTAACTCTGAACAGTCATTTTAAAAAACTATTGTAAGTTTGGTCTACCTGTATTGATCCATTTTTGCCATATTAAATATTAAAATTGACACATTCATATGTTCATTCATATAAAAATAACAATTTTAAGTCAATAAGATATTAACATAATAAAATATTTTTCATGGAAAAATATATATTTTAACCAATAAACGAAGAATGATGTTGTTTTAAATTTTTGCAAATATCTTCTTGCAAACAGCTGGCAAATAATTATCATTTCAGAAGAATGCTGAGAGGGCCTCCATGAGTCCTCAGGGGATACTTTAACAAAGACTGCCCTTGAGTTCATCACAGACTGCAAGTTTCCCTTCTGTCAGGTATCCACAAGAGGCCCATTGACACTGGCTTCCTAATGTTGGTTTAGAAGTTCTTATAGTTTGGGAAGTAGAAGGAACGAAGTTTGGAAAAAGATGAAACAAGAAATGGAAGCTGAAATTCTACCTGTGGAAGCAGGTAGACCTACATTCTTAGTGTCTGCAGATCCTCCCTCCTTCCCCTCCAAGCCAAATGGATCTGTCTTGTGACATAGTCTTATTCCGAGAGGAAAAATGAATAAGAACTCTTGAAAAATTAAGTAAAAATGTAATGATTTCCGCCACTAAAATTACAGCCCAACGTGAAAGGAAAAAAGTGAGAAGAAAAAAAAAACCTGCCATCTCTGAAAACAATAACAAAAATGGTGAATGGAATCAGCAACAATCCCACTACTTATCCCTTGCTTCAGATTACTATAATAGGCTTCCAGCCCCAATTCAAGAGCTGGTAATGATCTACAAGTCCTATACAGCTAGAATTAATTCAATCATAAACAGGGTGGAAAAACCTATGAAGTGAGGAGGGTATATATGAGACAACAGGAATTTTCTGTGAGGACGTCCTGTTGTAGAACTCCTTTCCCCAAGAGGTTGATTAAAACTCCTTCCCTCGCAGCTTTTAGAATATTTTTCACTACTTTTCAATTCCAGCCAAATCTTATCGGCATCTATCTTGGGGGGATCTTATTACTGTTGACTTATTGAAACTGCTGCTTTTAGAATTTTGGTTTATGTTGTTGTCGAATTTATACTTTTAACTTGTTATCTTCACCTAGGATCATTTGGGTTGGAAGGGACATGAATTTAAATAAACAATATGCAGTATAACATTGCTATATAATAGGGAGCCCCAATCCCTGGGCCACAGACCCGTACCAGTCTGCGGCCTGTTGGCAACTGGGCAAGCATGCACTTCATTTGTGCATATATGGGAGCTAGGTTGCGTATGCAAAGCCATCCCCTCTCTGCCATCGCTGCCTGTCTATGGAGCTAGAAAGGTTGGCGACTGCCACCCTATAATCTTTTGCATTGTAGAGACATCTTTCCCCAATGGGTTTGCTCACCCCACTCATGCTGGCAGGATGGACCGCCTGCAGACCCCATCAGTCAAGTAATTGTGGCTGGTGGAGTCCAGGAGAAAAGCCTTTTCCGCCACAGCCCTCCACTCCTAAGAATGTCTTGCTATTGGAGGTGAAATCCCCCTCCTCCCTCCTGATCTTCAGGAAAAACCTTAAAACTTGGTTGCGCCCATTAGAGCATGGGCCCCTGAAGGAGAAGCAGTTGGCTGGAGATGATTAATGCATTAACGGAGAAGGCACCACCACAGTGGTGGGATTCAAATAATTTAACAACAGGTTCTCTGCCCTGATGACTTCTTCCAACAACCAGTTCACCAAACTGCTCAGAAAGTTAACAATGCAAATAAGCCGGGGAGGTGGTTAGCCCATAAAATAAAAAAAGAACAAGAAAAGAGAACGATCGTAGCTCTCCAAGATCAAGAAGGGAAATTATGCACGCAGACCCAAGAAAAGAAAGAAATTGCTAAGGAGTTTTTTATGAAATTGTACAAACAGGAAGAAATACCGGAAGAATCTATTGATCGATATTTGAATGAACTTACCCGAAGTTACTGAAGAGAAACAAAATTTGAATAATAAAATATCTATAGAAGAAATTAGGAAGGCAATCGGAACACAAGAAGCAAATAAGACCCCTGGCCCAGATGGAATTCCTTCGAAATTCTATAAGGAATTCCAAGAAACAATAGAGGAGATATTGGTGGACTTATACAATGAAGCATTGGAGAATGCTAACATGCCTAAATCATGGATGGAAGCATATATTACCCTTATTTATAAAGAACAATCAGACCCACAAAAAATTCAAAACTATAAACCAATATCACTTTTAAATGTAGATTACAAAATAATGGCCACAATATTGGCGGAAAGATTAAAGAGAGTATTAAGTAGAATTATCCACATTGATCAGAATGGCTTCCTCCCCCATAGGCAAATAAAAACAAATACAAGAACCATTATGGATATATTAGAATATTATGAAGTATACTTAACCAAGACAATGGCATTGATATTTTTAGACGCCCAGAAGGCATTTGACAACCTGAATTGGAACTTTCTTATTAAACAACTGATAGGCATGAAATTTGGTGAAAATTTTATAGGATTCATTAAGACAATTTATAACATGCAAACTGCAAAAATATTAATAAATGGGGAAAATACAGATACCATAAAGATAAATAAAGGAGTAAGACAAGGCTACCACCTAGCTCCTCTACTGTATATATTGGCAGAAGAGACTCTTTTAGTACAAATTAGGCAAAACCAAGAGATTACAGGACTAAAAATTAAAAAAGAGGAATATAAACTCCAGGCATTCGCCGATGATATGACATTTATATTAGAAGAACCCTTAGAAGCGAGCCCTATACTACTAAGAGAAATAGAAGAATACGGAAAGGTGGCAGAGTTAAAAATTAACAAAGAAAAAACAAAAGTGTTAACAAAAAATGTACAAAGGAGCAGAAGGAAGAACTAGCAAATAAATTAGGTACGCAGGTGGTAAATAAAGTAAAATACCTAGGGATCTGGTTGACTGCTAGATGTTCGTCGATTAAAAAAGATAACCATGATAAGTTAATAACGCAAATAGTTAAAGATTTAGATAATTGGGTCAAATTGCAGTTATCGCTATTGGGACGTATTTCAATAGTAAAAATGAATATTTTGCCAAAATTGTTGTTCTTGTTTCAGACAGTGCCAGTCAAGTTGGATTGGGTTAAATTAGAAAATAGAAGGTTATTAGTATTAGAAGGTTTTGATCTCCAACTTGGCTGGCACACCTTCATGTGGGATGGAAAATCTAAACAACATTCATATTTCCAAAGGCACCATGTAAGAAATGTGTTGTTCAATACCTGGGGAAAGATTAAAAAAAAACACTACCCAAAAGTTCCATTGTGGCTATCTACATTGGAAGCAGTTACACATCCAAATGTATTGGATTATGAAAATATTGTCAGGTATAAAGATTTATTATATGACACTGGAGAGCTTAAAAATAGGAACCAAATACAAATTCAAGGAAAGGAGATAGCATGGTGGCCCTTTGCACAAATACAAACCCATTATAAAAAAGATAGAGAACAATTTGGCTTTAATATGACCCCATAAGAATTAGATAAAATATGGCTAGGAGAGGAAAAGAAAACAATTAGTAAAACATAAATATCTTTTGGACTACAAATTAAAAGAAGAATCTATGATAATTTGGGCTAAAACCGTGGTTCATGGTATTGAATTAGATAAGTGGGAACACATTTGGCAAACAAATTACAAATTAACCATGTCAGTCTCGTATAAAGAAAACTTATATAAAATGGTTTATTGCTGGCACCTACCACCCACGAGACTGGCTAAGATGTTCTCCAACCTACCACCCAATTGTTTGAAATAAAACTACACATAAGGAACATATTTTCACATGTGGTGGACTTGCCCATGTGCTCAGAAATTTTGGAGAAATATTAGAAATTGGATTTTAAATATAACAAAACAAAATTTAAAATTTGAAGCCGAAACCTTTCTGCTAAGTATGATAGATTCAAACATGGAGAAAAAATATCAATATTTAATTTTGCACATCATAACTGCGGCCAGAATAATCTACACACAAAACTGGAAACTGTCTTCCATTCCTTCAGAGGATATGGTAATTAAAAAAATACATGAATGCGCTGAGATGGATAGCCTAACCAAACTGTTAAAAAATAAACAAGATAGTGACTACTATGAAATATGGAACATTTGGTATGAGTGGTAAAAGAAAAGGTAATACTTGATATTTGGATAAGTTATGGAAATGAAAGAATTTTCCATAATTTAATCATAAACTATATAGAGAAATTAAAACATTAAAAGAACGAAGGAGTTATTGTAACAAGGCAGATCACGTCAAGATAAAGATAAAGAAAATTTTTTTAACCATTGCTCAATATATGCTGTAAAATGTATACATGTATGTGTGTGTATGTATGTACACCCACTTCAAACCCCTCCGACCCATACATGAAGCGAACTGACGCCCACCATGAAGATGCGGCACGACCACGAACGCGAAGCCAAACAGCAGGATCACAGCTCACCAGCTCAAATCCCCCAGCAACTAAGACTAACCTGAGCACAACCAAGCCCCCACCTGAACAGAACACACCCCCAAGCAATCAGAACACAGCCAAACCCCCAACCAATGAGAACACACCCCCAGCCAATCAGAACACAGCCAAGCCCCCACCCAATCAAGTCACACCCCCACTAGCAGTTAAAAGGAAGAAGCAGCTGCAAGCTCACATTACTCCGAGAAGCACAAAACCGAAGACACAAGCCTGAAGATGATGAATGAGACTTCATCGAAACGTCGCCTAGATACTTCCAATTTTACGTGGGAGAAAACCCGAATAACCAAAGATCCAACCAAAGATCGCAAAAACCTCAGTGCGGCTTTTTGGAGGCTTTTACTCGGAGCCAAGCTGCACTAAAGGCCTCCAATAAAGGAACACAATGTTGCCAGCCAGTCAAGACAAAAAAAGCCACAAAACAGACAGAATATATTAGAAACACCAATCAAGCAGAACACAGCAAACTCCAAGACCAATAAACACAGACCAAGACTCCCAACCAATCAGGATGAAGAAAAAATCATTCTGGCACAGCATAGGCTAGCACCAAATTTAAAACAGAAACGGCTGTGAAAGTCTGACTCACAGACGAACACTATACAGAAGCCTGAGGATGGCAGATGAGATTCTGCCAAAACGTTGCTACAACTTTAAAAGCACAACTAGAATTAAAAAAAGAAAGAAAATTAATAACCGGTTCTCCCGAACTGGTGCGAACCGGGTGAATTCCACCACTGCACCACCACCACCTTTCCACTGCAAACCTGCAGGGGTTTTTTAAATTTGTTTTTAATCTTTTGTAATTTTAAATTGTTTTTATAATTGTTTTTATATCTGTATGTTTTATTACATTGTAAGCTTGTCAGAGTCAATTTGAACCATGAGATGGGCAGAATATTGATTAGTAATTCATTGATTAATTACATGTAATAGCATTTCAGTTCAAGGAAATCCAATCCTAGACATATTGGCCAGTTTGCCCTTCAACACTTCCCACTGTCTAAGAAATGCCTTCACTTCTACCTCACCATGTATGAGAATTAGTTATTATTTCTGAGAATCCTAGTTTGGGGGATTTGAATCTCCATGTTTGACATAGCGACATAAAGAAGGAAAAGATACATTAGTAACTTTTGATTAGTACATGTGGGTGCACTCTTATTCTGAATGATGATTTCAGAAAGAGGGTTCTTAGTATTACACATCAAAAAACATTGTGCAGTTTTTCAACTGGAAAGAAAATCAGTACAATGGAAGTAGTGGAAAACAATGGGAGAATAATAGATGTAAGGCAATCTCAACATTTTATGTAAAGGAAGGGAGGGAGGGTGGGTTTGCGTAGCTGTGATGGGATGTCTAACAGATATTAAGAACATGGCAGAAAGAAGAAAATTGTTATTAGAGGGAGCTGCACTATTATAGAAAACTTGGTTTAGTTCAGGAGAGGAAGAAACATTTGAAACTAATTCCACCTTAATTATATCAGGATAAATTCACCTGGAAAATTGCTCTTATGACTTTTCAACATTTTATTATGTTACCCTATGAGCAATTAAAATCTTTTCAGCAACCCCAGTAAGTTTTGTTTCCAAGTGACGATCTATAGCTGGAGTCTCTGAAAGACCAGGAATGGCATTGCAGCAGAGATTAGAAGCCAGATGATAAATTCTGGCTGGCCGTTGTCCTTCTGGACAAAGAAGAGATTGTGAGATCACCCACTTGCATCCTGGGCTGTTGCTCCTCATGAGAAGACTGTATGCCTGGCCTAATGAGTTACCCCCAACAAAGATGGATCACAGAGCACCTGATTGTCAGTTATTACATGCTATTTCACCGTCACATGCCCAAGCAAGTCTGTATTTAAAAAAAAAAAGCCTACACCCAAGCTCTTATATTTAGCAGTCAAGCCACAATTCAACATATTTAATCTTCCTGCAATTTTCCCTTGCCTCACCCTGTCCTAATAAAGTATTTATCTTTCAAGATGCATTCTGGCAAGGCAGTGTTACCCCTATCAAGTTTTTTAAAAAATGTCCAAAGAAAACAAATAAATCTTCCTTCCTACCTCGCACCCTGTTCTCAAGGAATCAACCATGAATAACTCATAGCCAGGAGAGTACAAGTATTTCTTGTTTGCGAATGGGAAGAGCTACTTCTACAAATTAACAGACTAAGCCATGAATCAGGAAGCCCTCAGTCACAATTCTTTTTATATATAATTGACCATTGACCACCTATTCCTCTCCTCCTTCTCTCTCCTCCCTTTTTAAAGGAACATTTAAATTGTTTTCAATGTAGGTAAAAAGGTAAGTCAGAAACAAAGAACTAAAATAGAACAAGAATGGATATTATATTATGGATATGACATAAGTCATATCCATTATATAATAGAGCCATTAATAACTCTGACCACATGGAAAAATAGTGGTCCATTTCAGAGTTCATAGATGGAAAGTGAATACGTATCTTAATCAAAGATTTAAAGTCCTGTATGGCAGAAACTTTGCACTGAAGTAAAACAAACATTTAATTCCTTATACATTGTTACATAAATTCTGAATTTTTGATACAGTTAAATATCACCTATAAACCTTATTTAATTACTGCTCAATTAAGTGTGGCAATTAGAAATTAAATTGATGCAAATTTTGTCTTTCACTACAATTATTTTCCTGAGAAGAGGATCAGAAGTAAAAGGTTTTATTATTTAATGAATATTGATATAATTATAAGTATTAAGAAAAATAGTAGACATATTATTTAATAGTGAACTGACAATCTGTCTTTAGAAAAAGAACAACATTGACATATTTAAATGTAATTCTTTCAGTTAAACTTTTTCTTTGAATCTAGTGTAATTGTTTGCTTGTTTTCATTTTCTTCATACAAAGTGGATTACGAGACCCACAACTATTGTATAAAACATCTAAAAACTATAACAATAAAAGGGGGAAATGGTGAGAAATAAAACTCATATGAAATTAATTAAAGTTGAGATGGTTGCTGTTATTGGTTTATGTGGGATCTTGTAAACTAAAATGTGATAGGATTTTTGAAATGTTTAACTCTGTATAACAAAGTCTATGTGATATTCTATATTTACTGAAAATAATTAATCTTTTGCAAAAGGATATGAAAGTAATTTTGATCTGCTTTCAAGCTCCATTCTTTCATATTTGAATAAACATTTCATATTTGATTTAAATAGGAAACTGAAAATGACAACTGGTGCATACAAACAAGAAAATTTGAATGAAAATGATCTGATGACCTCATGACAGTTTTATAGTGAATTACATTAATCCCAGGAAAGACAAAAATCTAGCTGTGATTACTTGTGAGGAAATAACACTGTCAAAGACAAAGCCAGGATTTTTTAAAAAAAAAAATGGGCAAACCTCTGTTTTTTTCTGTCTTGTCACAATTGTAGCCTCCAATTAGCATCTCGAATAAACAATTACTACAGCGCTATGCTAACATTTTATCCCACAATGGTGGAAAGCTCTGAAGCTGTAAATCAGAAGGAAACCTATAATAATTGGTCCATAATTAGATATGTGTGTGTGTGTGTGTGTATTCCTTTTCTCTCTATCACTATACTCCTCTTCCATGAATCACCATCTTTTCCTATCAACATAAAATTTCCAACTAATTGAGCTTATCAACATTGAACATCAAAGATGGGAAGATGTCTGAGTTTTTAATTCTGGAATAAGCAACAGTAAGATTTCTCTAAGTGTTTAGCCCAGAAATGGGCTGCAAATAGTAGATCATAAGAATTTAAGTTAAACAGGTAGAAGTAACACACTTAGTAAAATTCAGAATAAAACACTTGTAAATACTTTGAAACTTACAAATATGTTTGGAGTGAGCCTTTTTAAAACGAGTCTCAAACCAGATAGACATCCCATCTTCAAGAAGCCGGAACAGCCTTTGTTTCTGGGGCTGATAAGTCTTGACTTTCCAGAAACTGGTTCCCTTCAGCATTATCTTAATATCTTCATCATCCGTCAAACCTGGAGAGAAAACAGCAGGGGGGAAAGATGAAACAAATTTAGTACTTAATGTACATCTTGAAATAAAACAGCAAGAGGCATTGCTTTTTACCATGATTTAGAACTTTTTTTTTTCTGAGCAAACCTTGGAATTTGTAAAATACCGTGTTTCTCCAACAATACGACCCCCCAATAGGAAGACCCAGCATGTTTTCTAGGCATAAAATGAAATTAAGCCCCTCCCCCCAAATTTAGGCCTAGTTTAAAACATGCGAAATTGGGCGGGGGAGGCAGGGCGGGAACTTGCCATTAGGAGTGCCCCGTGGGCAGCTACGCCTCACCATCAGCCACTCCTAACACTATGGTGGAGCATGGAGGACTCCCTTACCCCTCCCTTACCCAGGTCAGCAGGCGGGCGGCATCGGCGTGGATGTCTGGCAGCGTTTCAGCCGCTGCTCAGGCCTCCGTAGCTTCCACGGTTTCCACCGGTGCTGGCACCTCTCTCGCCAGCGCCATCTCCAACAGCAGCATCTGAGTCACTCCCGCTTTTCCTCCATCCCTGTAACAACAGGAAAAAAAACACTTTGAGGTACCTGGGAGCGCCGCGCACTGCGTTTTGGTTTAATCCCGAGCGGCTGGGTGGGCGTGAGAAGAGCCGAGCGAGTGTCTCTGCTGCTGCTACCCTTGGTGCTCCAGCCTCGGGCTCTGGAAGTTTGCAAAAGTCCCGGTGTGCAGCCTGTTCCTTCATTCCAAGTGCCCAGGCCGAGCTGCAGCTGTCCCTCTCTCGCCAACGCCGTCTCCAATAAGCAGCAGCAGCGGCGGGAACTGTGGAAGCATTTCAGCTGCTTCTCAGGTGGGGGAGCCACCTCCGTAACTTCCACGGTTCCCACCGCTGCTGCCGCTGTTGTTGGAGATGGCGCTGGCGAGAGAGGGACAGCTGCAGCTCGGCCTGTGTGCTTGGAATGCAGGAACGGGCTGCTCACCGGGACTTTTGCAAACTTGCAGAGCCCGAGGCTGGAGCACCAAGGGTAGCAGCAGCAGAGACTCTCGCTCGGCTCTTCTCACGCCCACCCAGCCGCTCGGGATTAAACCAAAACGCAGCGCGCGGCGCTCCCAGGTATCTCAAAATCTTTTTTTTTTCTATTGTTACGGGGACGGGGGAAAAGTGGGAGCGACTCAGATGCTGTTGTTGGAGACGGCGCTGGTGCGCGGGGGGGAGAAATTAATTCACTCCCAAAAAGACGTCCTAGCCGTTTTTGGGGGGCTCAAAAAAAAATAAGGCCTGGCCTTATTTTGTGAGAAACACGGTATTAGGTGGAATGAACTTTTTCACTTAGCTACAATCAGTCAACACCATCCAGAAGAATGGAAGAGGCAAGATAACAACTACAGTTGCCATTTCCCTTTCTCCCCATCTTTTGGTTTTAAAAAGCCTGTATCCTGACATTTTGGAAAAAATAATTTTATGGTAAGGTTTGTAAACTCTTACGATACTTCTTAAGATCCAGTTATCAATGTCTAACCTGCACATTTTCTGATTCTTTGTCACACTAATATGATTCGGACTCAATTTCCAGAGCAGGCAAATCGAAAAGATCACAAGAAGACAAAGACAAAAGAGGGGTGATGGTCACATTTCAGATCCAAAAGACAAAGCACAGGCAATTACTCAAATAGGGCAGATATTTGGGTTGATGAATCAAGATCAACATCATACAGAGCAAGCCATGCCTTTACTAGTTCCTGAATCTATTGATTCAAATTGTTGTACTGTACCTCCAATGACAGCATAGATTTTGATAATAGCAAAGATTAGCCAGAAACTGCCATCCTCAAGAGCTGAATCTGATGCACAGAAAGAATTGCAAACTTGGACTCTATAGTTGGCACCAAATGCCGCCACCTACCTTTTGACCTAGCCTGCCCATTTCAACAGTATAGTTACTACTGTTCAGGAGTTGCTCTAGCTGCTAGTAGGCTTCCAAGCTTCCAAGGTACTGCATTGTTTCATACAATGCTCTTAGAAGACCTTCTACCCTACATGTTAATATATTCTCTAGCCACAAGAGGATCTACTAAATGCCTACTCATAAAAATCCGTGGGCTTAGGATACAGAAAGTGATATTTCCTCATTCAACTGGCCTCCTAAGGTCACCTTCTTGTCCCTTAACAAACAGGTGAGGGGGGGAAAGTCCTTTTCCACAGGGCATTCAGAGAAGTTTAACTGAGGACAGTGACAAGTATTTTTTAAAAATATTCTGTTTGCATCTTAATGGGATTTTAAGTCTCACAATTAGGAGGCACACATTATTACAACTGTAAACCTAAGACACTGGATTATGTTTTGTATCCTATCAGTAAGCGAGAACCCTTCCACATCAACAACAGCTTTATCAAACTCTAGATGGACAGCTCTACCTAACTGGAGAGCAGAGGAAAATTTAGTCTGACAAGTAAGCGGATGTGGAAGTCTGTTCAAACTGGCAAAGGTAAGACATTCAAGGATTCAACAGCTCTTTGATGTGAATATGCTGAATCATAATTCCTGCCAACCTCGGCTTTTATGGTTTAGAACAGGTGTCGCCAACCTTTTGGACCTCAGGGACCACCAAACTCATAATTTTAAATCCCAGGGACCACTAACCGGTTCTGTGGGTATGGCCTAATTTGTGGGTGTGGCTTGGTGGTCAAGTGACTGGCTGGGCATGGCTTGTATGTAAATATTATAAATATTTATATAAATATTGAATTTTTTTATAAAAAGGGGAAACTTTTATCCAAAATCAGGCAAAGCAGGCAGGCAGATTGAGTTGCTCACAGAATCAGATTCATTCAGAGATCTATCTATCTGTCATCGGCTAGCTCAGTCTGTCACATAAAATTTGCTTGCAAGCGAACTCATAAAATTTGCTAGCAAGCAAACTCACAAAATTAACTCACAACACACCATGTATGTAAATATTGAATTTTTTATTTAAAAAAAAGAGCAACTTTTACCCAAGATCAGGCAAAGCAGGCAGGTAGATTGAGTTGCTCACAGAATCATTCATTGATCTATTTATCTGCCATTGGCTACTTGAGTCTGTCACATAAAATTTGCTTGCCGTGAGTCTGCATAATAGAACTTTCAGTCCTAAGGGAGGTTCGGCTGTTTATTTATTTTATTTATTTTTATTTGTCAATTGCTTACAAGATAATAGTTATAAGTAAAAGCATAGTTATGAATACATGGATACATATAAGAAAAATAAAAAATATATAAAAGAAACAATAGGACAGGGACGGTAGGCATGTTGGTGCGCTTATGCATGCCAAAGATCTAAATTATGCAGAGCCAAAGATTTAAAGACCAGCTAGAAAGCAAGAAATCCAACCATTTCCTGCTTCCTAGCTAATCTAAATCTCCTGGCACAGCAGAACAGCTGATGGTCAGGAAAAAAAAGGAAAAATAGCAACTTAGCAGGCAAGTTTGCTGGGTAAGAAGTGAGTGGGCGGGAAGGGTTCCCGCGGGCCATGTGAGTGGCGCAGCCTTGTGTTTCTGCGCAGCCTGGAGTAATTACTTTGGGGGGGTGCTCTAGGGGTGACATTTCTCTGCGGCCCACCAAAATTATCTCGTGGCCCATGGCAACTGCAGGTTTAGAAGATGATTGGAATATGGAAAACATTGAACCACTGGCAAAATACACATAAGAGAGAAGTACATAGTTCAATATTACTTTTCATTGTGGTTTAAGCTTTCTAAAAATGAAAGCAAAAAAAGATCAGTATTATACTTGGAATGAGGAAAATAAAAATGGAAATACAAAAAATACAATAAATGCGTCCACTTATAGGATGCATATGACCAAATATATTCAGATGGACACTTTGATCCATAGGATGCAAAGTTGCTGCACCTTTTATTCTGGAAAAATAGACAAAAACTTTGGTTAATCCCTGTTACCAGTTTCTGATTGTCCCCCAAAGGGACAAATGATTATACTTAATATTTAATCTTCAGGTAAAAGGCTTAATAGCCAAATTAAAAATTGCTTTTTCTGCCACATTCACAGATTAAGAAGGCAGTTGTGTTGAAGAAGCTTTATATTTCTTACTAGATTATTATCCTCCACTTTCTGTTGGGGCCTACATAGTTTCAATGTTTGGATAACAGAAAAAAAAACCGAAACAAAGAGATACACTGTATCATTATATATTAAGAAATTCCGACTTCCAGTTCAGGCTTCTTCAGCGACGGACTGAAATCCACGATCATGCATGGTTTTGATCCGTGCTTGCCACTGGAGCACCCTGAGCCACCCGGATTCGGGGCTGAAGCCACCCCGTAGAGGTGGTGAAGAAGGGGGAGCCATCAGCGGGGTTGAAGAGAGCTGCATCTCTCCTCAGCTGGCCATTACTCCCTTTCCCAAAGGCAGTTGCAGCGGTGGTCAGAAATGGCCACCTCAAAGAAGAACCCGACTGGACAAGATTGTACAGGAGGAAGTTTAAAGGAGAAAGTTTGACTGACCGGGTTGAATGGAGAACATCTATTTAAGGTACCTGGAACCTGAATTTTAAAGACTAATACTATTCCTAAAAAAGATCTTAAGCAGTGAAAGAGAAAGGGAAAGGAAACGGAATTGGCTTTTTTTCCTCTAATATTGACAGTTTTAATTGACTTGGAATGTTAAGAAGAAGAGATTCGAATAAGAAATTGATACTAATTCACTTTGACATTAATAGGCTATTTCTAGCTGAAAATAAAGTGTGAAAGGGATAAAGATTCTTGGATAATTTAAAAATTTTCTTTAAAAAAAAGAAAGAAAGCAGAGGAGGGAAAAAGGAAACAAGAAGTTGGAATCTGGAAAATGGAGGAGACCACCTGGAACTTAAAAAAAATCGATAGTGGAATTTTAACAAGGCTTGCAAAAGATATATTGTAGCTGAAACTTTGTTACAAGATAACAAAGCCCCTGGAAAGAAAAAGTGAGAAAAGAAGCAAGAAACAGTTTTGGATTATTGGATGATTCCTGGAATTTTG